AAGCATATCCTGTTTTATACACAATTTATTTTACTGAAAGTACATGGTAAATAAATTACATTCTCACCTTTAGCTTGATGCATAATGTGAAAATGCTATGAGAAAGTTTTTTTAAGGTCATTTATTGATAAAAATGTAGCCAAGTCAAAATATTGAAAGCCTATACACTTACCATATTGAGTGACCTGTATGTAGAGAATTGTGCTACATGCATGTAAAAACACTCTTTCATTGTTTTTGTAGAGTAAGTCCTTGTTCTAAAATGTACATTTTTTACTCTATTCAACAGTCCACACTTTTCCAGTGACAGTCAAATTATGTTTTCCTGTGACTTTTTTCAGAGAAGTTGACAGAAAAAGCCTAAGTCCATTTTAATTTGCAATATTATTCTTAAAAACTTGAAAATTTAGAGACATTGATGATAAATATTTCAACCCAAATATGCATGGGTTTACACATAATAGATCTGCTATTTCCGAAAATATAATCAGTACATATATATAATTATCTGTTGTAAAAATCTGCTAGACCTGTTCGGAAAATCTGTTTTTGTGCTTTCTTGAATTTATGTCGGTTGCTAAATTTGAGCTGGTTGTAAGCTTGATGGAATCGTACACCTTATGGTGTGTAATGTAAACATAATTTCTAATTAAAAGTTTAGTCCTTGAAAATGCTTGAAAATAAATAATCTGTCCCTGCCCTCTTCCTACGGTTTTCATTTTTTTTAAAAATGAATATAGTAAAGTAACCAATGACCAGGACTTATTCAACCCCTTCCAGGAACCATGTAAAGCATGAGGCTTATATTAGGCTTCAATATCATGAATGTGCACAGAGCCACAGCCAGGAAAACGTTAAGTTCCTAGACAGTACCGTTGTCAGAAACCTTTAAAGTTAAGCACTGAAACTGGTTTGTTGTCATGAACATACAGGTGAGGTTATGATAAAATCGGTCCGGTGTCATGCAAAAGATACAAGACTTTGTACATAATGCCTAAAATTTAACGTTTTTGACAAATTCTGAGAAAAAATTTGAATTTTGGGAAACAGATACAACATTCAGTATTCCATACAAAGATTTATGTATTTGATATCCTTAATACATTTTGAGGAGTTTTGGTTGGTGATCAAATGCCCATGTGTGAGGGCATGATCGAAAGATGTAAAATTATATATTTCTTTTATTTAATTCATCGAAATGGTACTTTTATTTTAAAATATGAAGAAAAACTTCATTTTAAATATATTAGGCAACTGACAGCCTTTTGTAGCTAACATGTTTTAAGAAATCGCAATTTATAAGCAAAAAGTCCGTTGTCAGTACATGTTAAGTTTATGTGGTCCGGTGTCATTTTTCTTAACATACAAGTAAATCAATAAAATGCAACAGAAATGATCAAATATATGCTTAATTTAAAAGAATACAAAGCATATTACAGATAAGTGTGAGAAGTGTGGGATCTTTTTTGTGCCAGTATCTACAAAATTAAAAGTACACTATGTACTTTCACATAAGTATCATTTCTTCTGATCCAGAAGTTCTTGAGAAGAAAATTTTGAAAGAGTTATTCTTAAGTATTCTATTTAAACTTTGATCACCTATTGTAGCCCCACTCTTCCCTAGATATGATCTGAATAAAAATGAATCTACACTTTATAATAAAGCTTTCACATAAGTTTCAACCTTTCTGACACAATGATACTTGAGAAGATTATTTGAAGATGTCACTAAATTTACACTAATTCTTAACTATACTTCCTTGAAAGAGGGCATGACCATTAATTTGATCAGACTTGACTCCCTTTATCCACGTTTGCTTTCTGGCAAGTTTGATTGAAATTGGCCAGTAGTTCCTGAAAAGAAGCTGAAAATGTGAAAAGTTTACCGACAGACAGACGGACGACACAAAAATGTGATCAGAAAAGCTCACTAGAGCTATCAGCTCAGGTGAGCTAAAAATGTCAACCCCTACACCAATTATATCGGCACTCTTATGAGAATTAAGCAAAAAAAAATGAATTACAGATGACATTACTACTGAACAAATAACTTTCAATCTCATATCCATGTATATATAATGAGAAAAAAGAATAGACTGATTTTTTCAGATATCTCAAGAACTACGGTATTTTAACATATCATAGTCAAGTAAACCAATGCTGGACACGAGCAACACCATTTCTCCCGACAGTACTGCGAGTAATGCTAAATAAATACAACTTGTTTACTTATTTATCAGCCAAACACTTTGTCTATCCTTCTGTCTGTCTATGTGTCTGTCTGTCTCTCTCTCTCTCTTTCTCTGTGCATGTGTGTCAATCTCTCTCTCTCTCTCTTCACGACCACCTTAGGCTGTCCAAAGTTAATTCTATGTTTAACGTCACCCGCGCGCGTAGGTTTCAGATAAATTGGTACTTTGAAAAAAACAAACAAATCCACATTTTTTAATGTTTCTGTTCCGGTTTGCTCTTACTTTTAGCACCTAAAAACTACATTGCATAGTGATAGACAATACTTGGGCCCTCTACGAGGTATATTTGAGCTGAGTCTACTCAGTCTATCATTTAAAGATACAGGTTTACAGAAAATGATTATTTAACCAAGAGTCTGTACATGATTACAAATACTTACAGTATTAATTCATGTAGATGAGTAACGACTCATTTGTTTGAAAATTCTGTTTGTTTATTTTTTTCCTCCCGCCCTTGTAGGTTTTGAAGTTTATAGGTGACGTTAAACGTAGAATTAATTTCGGTCAACCTTAGTAAAAATTTAACACAATATATCGGCGAAAAAATGTGCAAATGTTCATAGTACATATTGCACATATTGTACGACAAAACGTGCCCATGCTTGACTGTACATTTTGTCTTTCATTACGTAGGAGGAAGAAAAGCTTCTCACAGTCTCTCTTTTCAAGTCATGACACCGGACCGATTTTATCATAACCTCACCTGTATGTTCATGACAACGAACCAGTTTCAGTGCTTAACTTTAAAGGTTTCTGACAACGGTACTGTCTAGGAACTTAACGTGTTCCTGGCTGTGAGAGCTGATTTCTTGTACCATATGGTCTTGTACATTTCCCCATTGTTCACACATAAAAATTACTCTTTTGCATCCAGGAAATAAACAAAGAGGTTAAAATTTGTATGCACATTAAATAAACAGAAAAAAACACTTGATTTTACTTGAAATCCAGGATATATGTTGACAATGTAAACAACTTCCAGTCAGTTTTGTCCAATGATTTTTTTTTATCTCTCACACTAAAAAGCTCACAACTATCAAAGGGAGATAATTCAATTTTTAAATGAATGTCTACTATTTTAATCATAGATTTCTCATATTTATAGACTGAATACCAACAATGTTTTTAAATGACTTTTAAAATTAGATGTCATACTTTTTATTTCTGTGAGTAACATGAATTGAAGTAGCCGCATTTCATTGAATAACATTCCCAAAAATGGCATTTTTTTCAGAAAAAAATCAACTTTAGACACCATTTCCTTGGTAACTACTCAACATTCATATGATCTAACAATATTTTTGGAGTAGTTTATGAGGTGGTAAATTCTAGCCAAATTTGAAAAAAATCTGTGACTATGCATGCCACAAAAGTTTAAGTGGTTACAGAGAATGGCTATTAAAAATGTGGAAGAAAAATTTTGTGTACTAATGCAAAATATTAAAACTATAATCCAGAAAATTCAGAGTAGAAATCCGAGAAAGCAAAACCACACACCAGTGTTGTCAGTTCATGGTCAGGGGTGTGTGCAGTTAGCATATTGAATACATCCTGTAAAATGTAAACATTACAGTGGCGCCGCGTTTATCCGGACGCCATTTATCCGGACGCTTCACCATCCGGACGATATTTTTTGGGAACCGATTTATTCCACGTTATTTTGTCTCATTAATCCGGAAATTCGCGTTCCGTATCCGGACGGTCAATTTCTACTACAAAACATAGTAGTTCATTGAAAAATGACTCGTTTATCCGGACGGTAATTTTTTAAGAAACGACATTTTCACACTTATCTTGCATTCGTGTTAATTGTTGTAAAAACATTGGCCATGTGGTCAGTTTGAAGGCGGTTACCTGTGACCTACAAACAATAGCGTCTATAATTAGCATGTGTTTACCCCAATTCAATCACACGTTTATCTTTATTATGAATATACGGGGAATATACAGGGTTAGTTTATATTTGAACATTTCAGTGATGAAGCTGAACACTTCTGTCATATCATATGAGTTTCAGTGATTATAATATATGGCAAAATAAAACAACAGTAGATCAAAATTTGCTTAACCCATGAATTAAGTCACATGCCAAAGAGAAGGCGAATTAAAAAATTAAAAAAGGAGGTCTAGGCATAAAATTGCCAATCCATTTTTTTTTTAATATTGTGTAAATTACATTTTAATATTTTTTTTCATTAATCAATCACTGCTTTTAAAACAATTAACCAAAATATAATTTAAAAGTTTTTTTTTTCTTTGCTGTCACATTTGAAAAAAGAATGTACATATATACATGCTTAGAGAGTGCTTTTTGAGATGTGACTCAATTATCCGGACGATTCATTTATCCGGACGATTTCGTTGGGGACAGAGGCGTCCGGATAAACGAGGCGCCACTGTACATGTAACAATAACAGAGCTTGTGCCCCTGTTTACAAAGATGTTTGATGTAAGGTTATGAAGAATACTGCAGTACTGTGGTCACTAAATTTTAATAATTTTCATGTAAGTTCAATCCATTTAAATGAAGATATTCTTTTGAATAAAAATAGAATTTTATAATTGTAAACAAAATGGCAATGCAACTGTGTCAAGGTCCCTTTAATGTGTAGTGTGGAAGTCTACTTAAAAGCTATGTACATGTATGTATATATCAATATTGCCAAATTGAAATAATTTCCTTAAATAAGTTCAACTTTTGTTGATGTCCTGCAAAGACTAAGAAAAATTAATCAATTTACTTCTTAGATAAGGCAGACAAGAGAGCGGACATTGAGAGACAGAACAAGATGGAACAGGAACGTATGGTATGTACTACTTCCTTTCATATATGTATAAAACTGCAGAATATCACAAGAAGTGTCTTCATATTATCAGAATTGTTGATATTATGGTTTTGGGGGAAAACTACCATTTTTTGAGAAGTAAGTCAAATTTGTTTAGGGTCGGGGGTCCTCTCAGGCCCCCATTAGGTGCAGGTCAGAGCCTTGCTAGAGTGCCCAGGGGGCATATATTCTTTTTTTTTATTGAACATTGAGTGAATCTTCTAATAATTAACTTATTCTGAAACAAAATTGATGTTGAATAACCATGATAATAGAACTCAACTGTTCATGCCCAGTGTAGTGCATCAGTATACAGATAAAGTATATCATTGAGGGAGTCAGCAAGATTCCAGTTCCCCAAGAGCAAGTCTATTTCCTGAGGCTTGCTTGAGGAAAACTGAAATCTTGCTGACTCCCTCAATGATATACTTCAACTGTTTTATTACACTGATACCAAAATTAAACTATTTTCAAAACCCATAGCTGCAATTTTATTTTATACTCAGTGCAATTATAAGGTGCGCAATGGAAATATTGATCACTCAGAATGTAGATAAAATACCAGTAAATAAAGTCTTTGCATTTGAATCAATTGTCTATAAAATACATTTATCTGCAAGCAACTTTGTTTATTTTATAAACAATGTACACCATAACAAAGTTACGTGATCCATCTAGCTCTCAGTGCACATTTGTTTACCATGACGTCACAATAACAAGTTACTCTTTTCCATATAAATTAGGCCCCGTCTCCTTATATATAACTTTAAACTGAGCTGCATTATGAATATTCATGATTTTTAGCTCTACTGGTCAGAGACCAGAAGAGCTTATGCGATAGTAAGGTGTCCGTCGTCCGTCCGTCCGTCTGTCTGTCTGTCTGTCTGTCCGTCCGTCTGTAAACAATTTTTCAAAATGCTACTCCTCCTACAGTTTTGGTCTGATTTCAGTATAACTTGGCACACAAGTAGACTACACTAAGATACATAATTCTGTGTATCGGTTTTTGATTTCAATGAACGGTGTTGCCATGGTTACTAAAAATAGAAATTTCTGTGAAAAACATTTAAAATGCTACTCCTCCTACAGTTTTGGTCTGAATTCAATATAACTTGGCACACAAGTAGACTACACTATGATACATAATTCTGTTTATCGGTTTTTGATTTCGATGAATGGTGTTGCCATGGTTACTAAAAATAGAAAATTCTGTGAAAAACATTCAAAATGCTACTCCTCCTACAGTTTTGATCTGATTTCAGTATAACTTGGCGTGCAAGTAGACTATACTAAGATACATAATTCTGTGCATCGGTTTTTGATTTCGATGAACGGTGTTGCCATGGTTACTAAAAATAGAAATTTCTGGGAAATACTTTCAAAATGCTACTCCTCTTACAGTTTTGGTCTGATTTCAGTAAAACTTGGCAAACAAGTAGACTACACTAAGATACATTATTCTTTATATTGATTTTCTGATTTCGATGAACATTGTTGCCATGGTTACTAAAAATAGAAATTTCCTTGAAATACCTTCAAAATGCTACCCTACAGTTTTGGTCTGATTTTAGTATTACTTAGCTCACAAGTAAACTACACTAAGATACATTATTCTCTGTACCAGTTTCGGATTTCGATGAACGGTGTTGCCATGGTTACTAAAAATTGAAATTTCCTTGAAATACCTTCAAAATGCTACTCCTCCTACAGTTTTTGTCTAATTTTAGTATAACTTAGCACACAATTAGACTACACTAAGATACATAATTCTCTGTACCAGCTTTGGATTTCAATGAACGGTGTTGCCATGGTTACTAAAAGTAGAAATTTTCTTGAAATACTTTCAAAACGCTACTCCTCCTACACTTTTTCTCTGATTTCAGTATAATGTGGCATACAAGTAGACTACAGAGATACATAATTGGTGTTATTGTTTTTTGATTTTGTTGAATGATGTTGCCATGGTTACTTAAATCAAAATTTCTGTAAAATTGTTTTAAAAGGCTACTCCTCCTACAGTTTTAGTCTGATATAATAATAAATCTTGCCACAAAAGAGACTAAACCAAGGATCATTATTCTGTTTATTGCTGTTGCAAAGTTTCAAGTCAAAGTTCTACTTTTATCTTCCTTTATAAATACAACCAGTAGAGCTACAGTCTCGTTAGAGACTTCTGGTATTTGGAACATATCAGTACTTTTCATATGATTAAAAGAAATTGCTAGGTGTTCCGAGTAAGTGTGTATTAGTTATCAAACTTATGCTTTTTGCAGGGAATCAGTCTTTTTCAGTGATTCTCAGGGAATCAGCAAAATATATCAATTTACTCTTATATAGTGAAAAATCAGTAGAGGTATAATAATCATATTTGTAGGACAGAGAAGAAGAACTAAGAATTAGGACTCTAGAAATGAGAAAAAGGGAGAGGGAAAAACGACACAGAGAATTAGAAGGGCGACAAAATAGCAGTGACTCTGATGAGAGAAGCAACAGTCCTCAAGTTAGAAAGCGAAGTCCTAGTCCTAAACATAGGTCCCCAAAGCCAGAGAGACGGAGAAGTCCTCAGCCAGAACGTCGTCGAAGTCCTTTCTCAGATCGAAGAAGAAGCCCATTACAGGACCGCAGAAGGGGTTCCCCTTCTGAAAGGAAGAAAAGTCCAATTAGAGAGCGCAACAGAGGTTCACCAGACAGAGGAAGAACCCAGTACTCTGAGAGGAGACGTAGCCCAGGGCATTTAAGACGGAGTGGGGATAGACACCGTAGTCCAGTCAGAGGTAGACGAGAAAGAAGCCCAAGAAGTTATAGGCACAGGTCAGAAGGTTTACAAATAAACTTATGTTAAGGCCATATGATATTTACTTTTTGGGATTTGAGCCATACCTCAAGAACCACTGGGACAATATTTATTAAATATGACTCAAGGATCTTTAGGATTTTACCTATGACAAATGATGTTAATTTTAGAAACACAAAAGATATTCATATGATCCATATAAATTCTAAAATGACCAAATGTGTACATTACAAAGCGTTTACTGGTAATATTAAAATATTTCAAAAGTGTTTCAGTTTATGTAAATTTCTGTGTATTTTAAGCACAAAAAAGTACTTTTTACCCCCTAAAACATTACTTAAAGGGTCATCTTAACACAGAAAAAATATGATAACAAATTTTTTTAAAACTGATTTCAATGTTGCCTGGAATGGAACCAGTTTATTAACTCACATTTAGAGTTTCTAGGAATAAATTGTTCCTCAGAGTTTCTAGGAATAAATCGGCAGTGCTTGGAATTACATTTCAATGACAACAATCTGTTTAAATTTTGAACTATCTATCCAATTCTTAACAAAATCAGAAGTCAAAATAAAAAATATCGCTTCTGAAATTGGCATGTTTATTTCAGTTTGGCTCTGTCAAAAAGGCTGATGTTTTTAATAGAAAGGTCAGCAAAGCTCAAATCATTGATGAACAGTTTTGCAAAAACGTTCACACAACTTTCTTATGTTGCTCTTGATTAACGTCTATTCCAAGAAACCCAAATGGCAGAATTGGTAAAATGGGTAAATAAATGAATCAGTTAACATTTTTTTTTTAAACATCAAATTGTGATGTAAGCAAGCATATCCAATATAAGAACTGAAAGCAGAACCAGAATACTGTAAAAGCAGAAATATTTGTTGGGGATTAAATTTTGTTTATTTTAGGAATGACTCTAATTCTTGGCCAAATTATTCGAGGATAACCTGGTTTGGGTCAGTTTACGCTTTATAATCCGCGAAGCGGATTATAAAACAGCGTAAACTGACCCAAACCAGGTTATCTTCGAATAATTTGGCCAAGAATTAGAGTCATTCCTTATAATTTAATTCTAAAATCATTAAACAACTGTGGGTGTAAAATTTCGTTGCTTTTTATTAGTTCAAATTTGCCGCTCAATAATACAACCCTAGTAACGGAAGTGATGGGAAGCGAGGGGAGGTAAAAACTGATACATAGTCCTAGCAGCCATGTTTTTTGTTTATATGTGGTAAGATCCGAGTTACTGTTTGAAGTTAAAGGTACATTTATTAAATCTGGAATTTTTCATGAATCCTGAGGACTGGAAATGAGAGGATTGCATGGATACAGACGATTCAGCTGGTTGTCAGGGGGGTGTGTCCCCATACCAAACCAGGTTATACAGAAATAATTTGTGTTCCTTTTTGGATATTAACCAATCAGAGGCTAGAATACAAACAAAACTAGTGCTAATTGTAACGGGAACCGTTACAGATGTTCCCCAAACGGTTCCCCAATCCCTTATGATGCTCCATTCCCTACAAGCTTAAATAAATTAAACAATACTTTAGTAATATAGATGGTCACTTTATTTTTAAGGGTATTTCATTGGAAACTACTCCGATATAGTCATATGGGTATTAGCCAATCAAATTTCAGCGCATGTGCTTGCACATGTTTTCTACATTTTTCACATTAATTTTCTTATAGTGTCTCACAATACATACATTTGTGTTAAATATTAAAGGATCTCATTGAAAAATAAAAGAGATGTAACCCTTTAGGTATTAGCCAATCAGAATTCAGCATAAGCGCATGCATGGCCTTGCATTCAATTTTGATAGTATCATAATGTGGGGGCTCTATGTGCCTATCCATGTCGTAAATTTCATTCTGTTTTGTTGAAAACCAAGGGAGTTATAGACATTTAAAGTTTCAACCAATCAGATTGCAGCACACCTGAATGCGCGTGTTTTCAAGAAATTTCCTATATAACATGTTGTAGCACTTTATAATATATACTTATATTCTAAATTTCAAAGTATTTTGTCAAAAAACAAGGAAATTATTGAGATTTTTGTATCAGCCAATCAGAGAAGAGCGCACGTGCATGCGCGTGAGTTCACGCTAATTTGACCATGTTTTCTTGTCTAGACTACTAATATATCTTTATACTTTGAGTTTCAAAGCAATTCATCAAGAAATATAAAAGTTACGGCTTCATCAAGTATATCAGTCATTTCACTCATCGCACACGCGCGCACGTGCATGCATGTGCGCGCAAAATGACCTTCGTTCCGAACACCTACACAACATGCCTATTAACCCTTAAAAGGTTTCATGTCAATCGGATGAGTGGTTCTATGAGAACACTCCCGGACAAAAAAGTACCGGAGAAGAAAGTAGAAAAAAAGAATAATAATAATAACTAGAAACTCATTGCGAGCAATGAGAGGTCTTCCGTCCGATTCTGAAAATAAAAACGAAAATTCAAGCTGAAAAAGTGATAAAAGAAATTGAGACACTCTGGAGATTGAACCCTCGTCGTCAGAGTGAAAATCCAACGTGCTAACCATTAACCATTCACTTTTTTGCATCACTTCCTGTCACCACCGGAAGTAACGGCGACACACGATTTTCATACGATGCAAATAAACTGATGACGGACTATCAGTCCTGAAATTTTCAGACTTCAGTCGTTTATTGTTGCCGAGCAATTGTGAGAAGAAATTCTAATTTTGAGGACAGGAAAACATGCGACCGGAAGTGAATCTTATAAAAAAAATCTCCAACGTGTCTCCAGACATTTGCAATATCTACAACATGTATTTAAACATTTCAATTCCTTTTCTATAAGCGATATTTATGAGAAAGTTAAATATCGAAATAACGTATTTTATCTCCTAAAACCGGAAGTTGACGTTTTTGTTTCCGGAGGAGTCTAACATATTTCAAAACAGCGAAAGAGATGCAATAAGGTGATGCAAGTTTTAATTTAAACAAGAAAAGTTGAATTTTTGGATTTCTTTGATCACTTCCTGTGACGACCGGAAGTGACGGCTGACAGTTTAACCCAAAGGATTTTGCCTACTCTTCAAGGACTATTACTCATATAAGTTTGTTGTCTTAATCTCTTACCGTTTCTGAGATCTCGCTCAGATGTTTTCTCATTTTGAGGACAGAAAAACACGCGACCGGAAGTGAATTTTGCAAAGATATTGGACGTAACTCTAGACATTTGCAATCTGAATAACATATCTAAAAATCATTTCAAATACTTTACCTATAAAAGATATTTATGGGAAAGTAAAATACTCAAATTATGTAGTTTTTCTCTTATAACCGGAAGTTGTCGTTTTTGTTTCCGGTGGGACCAACATATTTCGAAACTGCGAAAGAGTTGCAATAATGTGATGCAAGATTTGATTAAAAAAAGAAAAGTTGAAATTTTCGATTTCTTTGAACACTTCCGGTGACGACCGGAAGTACTGACGACGAAAACCAAAGTAATTTCGAACATCTAGAAGTCATGGTCTATCATCTCTAACAAGTCTCCAGTTCATATCTTTAGCCGTTTCTTAGATCCTTCGAGGACAAAATTTCATTTTAAAATCAGGAAATTGCCCATAACTTGGCACTGGAACCGAATTTACCAAAAAACGGAATTTTATATAAAATTCATATAAAGACCTTTTATCCCTGAAAATTTCAAAGAAATTCATTGAATAGTTTTCGAGAAATCGCGTGCACAAAATTTTGTCTAAAAAAAAAAGAATAATAATAATAATAAGAAACAATAGAATCACTATAAGGTCTTCCGTGGAGACGGAAGACCTTAATAATAATAATAATAATAAGAAACAGAGTAAAAACAATATGTTCCCAAACTTCGTTTGGGGAACATAATTAAATTATTTCATTGTTAACAATTATCAACGAAATTAAAACCTACACAAATTTTTTATATGACTATATATTGAATAGGGTTATTTTCGAAACAATGAAATTAAATGCCCACGAACCTTTTATTAGAAGACAAATCAAAGAACATCTATCCCCATAAAAATTTGTGCTTCTACATTATATTTTGACCCTCAAAAGTTCTCTTTGACTCCCAAAAGTTAACCTCAAAGGGTCATAATAACCCTTGGTTTTCAAACTTTGCAGAAACACTGATTTCAAGGCATCACCACACAACTCTTAGGAATTATAGTGTATGGATGTAGAAAAAGGAAATATTAACAAGGTTATTATAAACAAAATATCGGTATGCATTTTGGTTTGAAAATACAAATTTTATTAAATTTTTATTAAAATGTGTCTTGATTTTAACAACCACAACAAAGGAAAGAAAAGTTCATTTTAATTTATTGGATAAATTGCATAGTGTATTTATTAGCACAATTGAAGTCCAGAGGGAGTTATTTTGATGAGCAGTCCATTCTCCCCTTAATCAATTCAAAAGAAAACATCTCCAAGGACTATTCCAGCAAATCTTCTTCTCTGCCCCTTGGTATTTTATGGGAAAAAAAAATAATTGCATGGTTATGATGAGCAAGGATGTCTTTTGAAAAAATTTGAAATTCATAACCCTGGGGTCAGGTTTTTAGCTCACCTCAAAGAAGTAACTGTAAGTCCTATGTTGACCAAACTTCCATGGATGATACATCTAAGGATGCACACTACTGGACTTGTTTCAGATGCTGGTTCTGACCTACATTTTCAAGATGAGTTACCAGGTTAAAGTTTTTGGAGTAGATCTCATTTCCAAGTAAATGTAAGTCTTATGTTGACCAAACTTGCACGGATGATACATCTGAGGATGCACATTACTGGACTTGCTTCGGATGCTGGATCTGAACCTACATTTCCCAGATGAGTGACCAGGTTAAAGTTTTTGGAACAGGTCCATTGCCAAGAAACTTTAAGTCCTATGTTGACCAAACTTGCATGGATGATACATCTAAGGATGCACACTACTGAACTTGCATCAGATGCTGGATTTGACTTTCATTTTCTGGATGAGTGACTAGTTTTAAGTTGTTGGATAAGTCCATTCCCAAGTAACTGCAAGCCCTATTAGACCAAAATTGCATAAATGTTGCATCTAGGGATGCCTACTACTAGATTATTAGTTTTAATGTGGGTCTTTGCCTTACTTAAAAACAACACTCATTGAGGTGAGCTCTATAATCTCTGATTACCTATGTTTTGTTGTTAGGGTGAGTCTCTTGAATATATAGTAGAAATGCTATATTTCTTTGAAAATCTTCTCTGCCCATTGTTACTAAGGGAATATACTAAGTGTTTATGATGAGCAAGGGTGCCTCCTCCAAAATTTTGATTATCTTGGCTCCTTGGTCAGGGGCTCTGGTGTTAGGTTAGGGCTTTGTTGAATCTATAGTGAAAATTAATTATTTCATTGAAAATCTTCTCTGCTCCTGGGCATCCAGGAGGTAAACAGAGTATATAAATTTGCAGTAAGCAAGGGTGTTTTACCAGATTTTGAAATTCTGTACCCTTTGGTCAATTTATTTATTTTTACTGAAAGAAGTTATTCCCCTTTTGCTATTCTTCTTTGATATTTAATCACTGTAAATAATTTAACTTAAAAGAACAATTGAATAACAGAATTATATAAAATTTTTTATAATATTTAATACAAAAAGTACTTACCGGTAGTTTTTAATGATCAGGTAAACATTTAAATAATTGATAAATAAAAATGGGACAAAAATACCATATATTTGTACATTAAATAATCTTTGAAGACTATGAGAGGCCTATGTGAGGGGAATGAAATGTGTTAAAGCTGTACCCAACAATCCCCATATAAGCCTATATATCCCTATATAAGCGGCAGACCTCTTAACAGTTCAAAGTGTTTCACTGTAGACATCTTACATTGATGTGTTGCTTTGTCGCGATGAAATTATTAAATTTTACGCACTTTTTCCGAGCCAGGAGAAAAGTAAAATCAAATGTACAAGTCAGTGCATTATTTACAAACAGAAAATGCACATAAAACAAGGAATAAACGCAAAAAAAATGTAAGACCACAAATGGAATACTACTTTGGCCACGACTTTCAAGTGTGCAAAACTATTGTTTTGATAAGTCCACATGGGGATAGTGACAAATGGGAGAAAGTGCAGGCAAATGAAAAGATAAACTTAAAAGATTTGGTACCGAGTACTAAATTAATATTTTGTTGATCGCTGATCATTCTATCTCTTGCTTTTTGGCAGCGTAGCTTTATTTATCAGCTTATTTTGTTTCAATGTTTGGATCGTTACATTATACTCGTGTGACTGTTAAGGCTTTGCACCTCTTGTTCATAATAAGTATTGCAGCAATTTTCCGAAAAAAGTTCTCATTTCTTTTCTGTAAGTGATGCCAAGATTGCAGAAAATGACTGTAAGCATGCATTTCAATTGCTGTAGCTGGAAATTCTCAAAATAGAGATGGATGCAAAGATGCACTTTATGATGCCTCATCAAGCTCATACATCATTACTTGAATGACATTCCATCGACCGGAAGTCCAGGAGTTACTCTGCTGCGCCACGTTCAAGGAAGTTCGACTTCAGCATCTGAAAAACATGCATTTCAAAAAGGCTGAGGAAAATTTCTTTCACTCAGATCAAAAGACTGATGAATTTAATACAACGTAGAATCCGAGCTGCAATGTTAGTGCATGGTGGACTTGCGTGTTCTCATTGAATGTAATTGAAAAAGGGGGGAAGGGGGGGGGCATGGATATTCGTGCATGAATAAACCGTTATTTCAGTTTCATCAACTAAATTTAGAAACCACCCATAATATTTTTTTCCTGGAAAGACAACTATGTGTACAAATTAATTACCAAAAATTTAGACCACCCATACCAAAAAATAAAAGCGATTGTCATCTTCCCTACACTTTTTGCTAAAATAGGTCTTACTTATATAGTATAAAAAAATAATAACTGGTTGAATATTTGATTTATTTGCATATTTTGCTTTAAAAATTAATTATTGAATTGATTCTTTGTCATTTGTAGATCAAGATCCCGTTCAAGGTCACGATCAATGGACAGAAGACCAAGACTTGTGAATTACTGACAGAACAACAAAGAGTGTGAATGTTATCAGAAATGTTAATTGAACTACAGTGTGATTTAAGAGAATAATTTGTACAGAAACAGAAGAGAGATTCTTTTAAACTTTGTGCACATAGTACCGGTAGAATCTGATTGCCTATTTATATACCTTAGTACTGTATGTCTGACAATCAGTAGTAAGGGTTTAACAATATATCGATGCATTGTGATACAGAGGGGAATGATACATCAATAAATAAAATGAAGAATCCATTTTTTCAGTACTTTCAGAAAGTATATAATGCACATGTTATGGTTCCAAAACAAGAGTACTTGCGTTAACAACAATGTTAGAACTCATTAAAAACCAAAAGAAATTTAAATTTCATCTTTTCCAAAAATTAAAAAAGAAAAAAAAGTTAAAACTAGATTGCTTAAATCTTGGTTTTGGAAAGTACTAAACACTGGGAATATTTTTTCTTGAAAGAGGAATGCTGAAATCTACATGTTTACTTTCTTAAAACCTAAAAATAATTATGAGGAAACCTGTAGATTTAAAATCTTGATATATCGTGATATATTGTGATATTTCTGAAATATCATGATGAATCATGATACATTTTTTCCCTTACAATACACAGCCCTAATCACTAGCAAGATTTACAAAAGTTCTAAACCAGCTGTGCATGAGGTACTTTACAAATGATTACTTCCTAACAGTGCATCATAGGCATGCAAATTCCAATTGTCATATACATGTATTTGAATATGATTGTTAATAAATGATGTATACAAACAAATAAGTAATATCTGTATTGTACATTCTAAGAGGAACAAATTCTACAAGCTTGATAAAAAATCAATTGGTTTTGATTACTTTATTTGGGGATAGAGGTACACATGACAAAAATTTTTAGACCCCTATTTTTAGCTCTTCTGACCCAAAGGCTCAAAGAGCTAATGCTATGGCCATTTGTGCGGTGTGCAAAAACTTTTTAGAATATGGGCCATAACTCGAGAACCCTTGGCCAATTATTGTCAAATTTGTCTCAGGGTATCCTTGGCCCAAGGGTTTCCGTTTAGACTAAAACTAAGGTTGTGACCCTTAAACAAGGGGAAGTAATTAGGAAAATAGAAACAAAAGTAGTGGTTGCTAAAAACTCTTCTTCTCAAGAACCACTGGGCAGATTATCACCAAACTTAAACAAAAGGATGAGGATATGTTGTAGATTAAGAATTGTTCAAAGCATCACCCTGGGGCAAAGGACGTGGTCTCAAGGTCACTTCAAAGTTGACCAAAAATTACATTTTATTAAAATGTTGATATTTTGCTTACTATAAGGACTAGGATCATCAAATCTTGTCAGTTGATGCATCTAAGGACCTCATATCATGTTGACTCAAAAGTAGGTCATGGTGACCTACTTTTTAAATTTTGCGGCCATTCTTTTTCAAAATGATTTAGAGGCATATTTTGAACCATTTAAGGCCTATGATCATAAAACTTTTTCAATTGATGCATCTTGGGTCCCCAGAGTACGTCAATTAAAAAGTAGGTCACTTTGACCTACTTTTTGAATTTTATGGCTAATCTTTTTCAAAACAATTAAGGTCATTAGTTTGAATACTGAGAGGTTTAGAATCATTAAATCTTGTAAGATGTTGCATCTTGGGGCCTCAAAAAATATATATTAAAAAGTAGGTCACAGTGACCTACTTTTTGAACTTTGCAGGCTTTCGATTTCAAAGCGTCTTAGAGGCATAATTTGGACATTTTAAGGCCTATGATCATAAAACTTTGTCACAATGACCTACTTTTGAAATTTTATGGCTATATTTAAATATTTAGGGTACTATTTGGCTTAGAATCATCAAAATTTGTCAGTTGATGTATCTTGGGTCCTCAGAGTAGGTCAACTGAAAAGTAGGTCACCATGACCTACTTTTCAATTTATATGACTATAATTAAATATTTCGGGTACTAATTAGTTTAGAATCATCAAACTTTGTCAGTTGATGCATCTTGGGTCTTTAGAGTAGGTCAACTGAATCATCTTGGGTTCTCAGAGTGTTTCATCTAAATTGTAGGTCATGATGACCTACCTTTGGAATTTCAAGGTTTTATCTAAATATACAGGATACTTAGAAGCTTCAAATAGAAGTGATAGGTTGTACAGTTTATCAGAAGAGCGATTCAAGGCCGTTGGGCTTCTTGTAATTATGTACAGTGTACTTTGAAAAGAAGGTAGAACATCTGTTTCGTTTTCATCCCAACTGTTGACGACTTTCAGATGACTGCTTCTTAAAACTGGTCAGACTATCTGCTTCTGACTTCTGGTATGAGGCCCCTAATATGCAGATTGTCACTTTGCTCTATCTGGCTACTGCTGAATGATAAGTCCACCATTGACATCATCACATGGGTTCCTACTGTTACTGGATGTTTTGATCCTTTAAAACTATGACATCCTATAGCTTGTGGTCCACAGTGGTGATTTTCTTCATGCAAGTCATGCAGCTGCCACTCCTTTGTGTCTCTTAGGTGCCAAATGCAGCACAAAACCCTCTCTGCCTCCTTACCTAAGTTTTTGACGAAACTTTATTCTATTTCTGCCACTGATTCCAAAGGCTTTATTAACTCTCCATACAGAATGTGCAGGAAATCCACAACATCCAACTCCTATGGGGAATAGCCAAGTCTTCCATCCTCTAGTCCCATTGTTCCTATAGCTTCCAGTACTTGGCACTCTTCCTCTCATCCCTAACCAAAAAATACTATAGTTTACTATAGTATCAAAGTTTTTGCTATAGTAAAAAGGTATTTCTACTTTGGATTTCAGATTGTTATATTTTATTTTCTCCAAATCATACATGCAATTTTTTTATATTAATTGGAATTATTATTTGTATATTCACATATTATTTCAAAATATTACAACACTGTTATCGAAGTTAAGAGATTTTAAGCATTGAAATCTCAAAAAGTCCCAGAATAAAGTGTAGCAGGTCTGGTGTTCATTTAGCCTGTACTTGGCGTTGTGTTTATTTTTGTTTTGAGACGACTTTCCGAATTAGACCTCTACATTAGAATATACCTTGGAAATATTTGTAAATTGTGATGAACTAGAAAAGAAAATAAGATTAACAAGACTTTACAAATTTATTACAGTTACATGTATAATATACGATGTGAAAACCTAATTCCCCTAACCCAAATATAGTCTAACTTAACCCAAATATAATTTAAATTAACAGAATTTAAAGCACAATGGACGATTCCAGTATATGTAGAGTGTAGCTAGCGAAGCCAGCTGTCTCACTCCCCGATCTAATAGTTGCATAGCTTTATATAGAAAAAAAAAAGAACAAATGAACTGTCAAAGAACTTATTGGCCGAAAAGATAAAACTGGGCGTTTCTAAATATAAGATATATAATTTACATAGGGATCGAAATGAAATAATTAAGAAAACGTAAATAAACCTAATCTACCACAAAAGTTTCATGGTGTAACGTTTCCGGGTTCTTTTTAGGATTCGGCTGCTCTGCCTGAGCAATTTAAGAATTAATTTTCTCAATCACAAATTCAAATTAGAAATATTTACACTATCCCTGTCTTTTCTCGGGAGCGCACGTGCCTTCCAAGGATTGAAGCGCATTAGCTTCTCCCCTCCAGCCAAACCCGTGTATTATTGTAATAATATAATTATATATTCACTACCAAAGTCCCGAAAGCCAATTTCAGGCACTTAAGACTTTATTCAGGTATTACAGTACCTAACACGTTTGGCTCTTCTGTTTTGGGCGGTCTTTACAAACCAGCCGTCAGCAACAGACTGACTGTTCAACCCGGCTGTCTCGGTATATATACCCTACAGGTCACGTGATCTGCTGAGAACCGAAAGGTACAACCGTGCGTCAAGAAACAAGTTATCACAATGTAACTACTGAGAAACGAAGGGATACTTTGATCTTGATTACAACTTTGCTTCATTACCCACGCCTCCAGGAAATGCGTCTCGCATTCCTCTTAAATCACAACTGGACTTTTACGTCTCGTACATTTGTCACAGCCTATAACACACCGATAAACATCTTTCTGAAATCCAGGCCAATGATATCTTTGTCGTATCTTAGCTATCGTTTTGTTCACCCCCAGGTGTCCCGACGTCTGATTATCACGATACATTTCTAAGACGCGTCTGCGCTCTTTCTCAGGTATGATAGCTTGATGTACTTCTTTGTTGGAACGAAGCAGAGTCCACTTGCGCATTAGCAATCCGTTCTATATAGTAAGTCTAGAAAACTGATTCCAAAAAAACTTCACTACGTAGCCATGCATAGAAATATCGCTAAGACTTGGTCGCTCTTCTTTCTCAACCCTTGTTAATACAAGCTTAATGTCTCCTCTGCTCTTGAGCTTCTTGAAAAGTATAATCCATGTCGTCACTTTTTATCTCCGATTGTTGTAAAAGTTTTGCAACTAATTCAACTTTCGGATAATTTTCCAATGATGAAGGATCAAACCCACACTGAGCGCACGGTATTCCGCTCAGTGCATCCGCATTACCATGCTTTTTACAGGATCTGTGTTCTATTTTCATATATATCATAGGTACTGATTACTTTCAGCCACCTAGCCAACTGGCGCTCTGGGTTTTTGAACCTTAAAAGCCATCTCAATGATCCATGGTCCGTTCTAAGAAGAAACTGTTTACCATGGAGATAATGGCGGTATTGCTTAAAAAATGGACAACGGTCAAAAGTTCTTTCAGTGTCACACGATACGTTCTCTCTGACTTGGACAATGTACGGCTAGCATATGCTATAACACGTTCTTTACCGTCAATATTTTGAGATAATACCGCACCAATCGCTTCGTTTCTAGAGTCGATATCCAAAATAAATTGCTTTGTTATATCAGTTAGGGCTAATACTGGCACAGTTATCAATTTGCCTAACGAACGCTTCTTGTGCCTCTTTACTCCATAGAAACTTCCTTTTTCTGTGAGTCGATGCAATGGTTTGGCAACTGGGACAAAATTCTTAATAAAACGCCTGTAATAAGTGCAAAGACGTAGAAAAAAATATTAAATCGGTCACAGTACTTGGAACTGGCCACTCAGCTACCGCTTTTACTTCTCTGGGTCGGTCGCAATTCCTTCTTTGGAAATGATATGTCCCAGATGGATACCATTGTAGCAAATAAATTGCATTTCTTGGCCTTTAACTTTAGACCGGCCTGATGCAATCTCTGAAAAAACATGTACGTTT